GATGAGTTCTGGGACACCTGTATGTACATATATTTGAATGAGGTATAATTTGAAAATGATCTTATAATTTTTAGATAGGTAGGTATTTTAACAATATATCATAAATTTATGTAGAAAAATATTATTGATACTTGAACCTACATCTAATGCACACTGCATTTGGATGTACTAGGTTCGAGTATCATTAGGTATGCTATTGAATTCAATTATTTTTCACTTCATGACCAGAACAGTTTTTGTTTATCAGTGTGAACTGATAAACAAAACTGTTGTGGTTCTGGTCTAAAAGAACACACATGAAAGTATTTTTTTACAGTCAGCCTTAAAATTACTTGGAATTGTAGCAGAACACAACATTGGGAATAGTGAAAACTTTCGTTACATCCCCTTTTTTTTAACAATAGATAAACTTAATAAACATGATCTTTTAAATAAATTAATGGTTTTAATATACTACCTAGTGTATGATTTTGATTATTGTGACTTTCAGTTTGCACTGCTAAACTCAAGGATTTTAGTATTTTTATAAAAAAAAACTCCGTCTAAACGGTTTTTCTACAATTTTACCTGTATTTATATTATCATTATTCTCCATTTCTACATAAGCAGTGTTTCTATATTCTAATAATGCTAAATACTTATTTTTCTTTTCATAATCAGAGTTTTTGAATAAATTTTTACCTGTTTACAGCTTTCCACATATCTCAGCAAGACTATTTGACTGAAGAAATGAAATCCAATTTCATTCAAGTTATATTAAAAAACTAATCATCATATACAAATAGGTCTCCTTTGAACATACAATAATCTTTTAAACTGTCCGGTACTCTCTTTATATTTAATATCTATGTATAATATGTATGTATTTACAAACAAAAAAAAAATCTATGTATATCTATCAGTTATCTAGTACGCATAACACAAGCTTTAGCTAGCTTAAATTGGGTCTAGATGACGCTGTGTGAATTGTGCTGATATTATTATATTATATATTATCTGGTTATTCTTATATAATTTTTGTCCTTTCTGTTTCTGTCTCAATTTCTTCTAATCTATAGGATGTAACTGGAATTTTTTTTTATAATCTTACCTACCTGTGCCTCTATTTTATTTTCCATAATATTATCAAACTGTATTCCTTTAATACATCCTATTTTATTTGTATCAAATATCTGTATATACTTATTTAGTATTTCACTACATTGCTTATTTTTTATACAAATTATTTGCATAAGACTTAACATTTACACAGTTTCCAATATTCCATATTATTCCAACCTAATATTGGTGTACAATTCGCTTTTACAACTTGAAATCTGAAATGAAATGCCTATTATTTATCAGTTTACATTGCAAGTCTATAAAAAGTACACAATTAATTGATGAACCATCATAATTATGTAATTTAGTTACGACCTACTTAATAATTTTCATTGCTAACACATTACACTTGGTATGTTTTGCTTTCTCTTTAAAGAGACTCAAACAAATCACTTTTATTTATTGTATCAACCTCTAATGAACTAGTCAGTGTCTAAGGACACAGAGTCATTTATCACTTATATTTTTATTTCTACACACACATGTGAAATGACTACAACTACATTTTCTACATTGAACATTGTATGCTGGATATACAATGACTGTAACCACACTTGTAACAAGAACTGCATTTTGTATGTACATCTTGTGTATACATTAGATTGTATAACCTGGGTTGTTTGACCTTTCCCCCTTAATTGGCTCTTGTTGTACTCATATTTAGTGCTTCTCTTTACTTCTACTTTGGTTTTCAAACTTCTGCATCTCGATACATGTTATCTCGAATGTTTTACATATTTGTAATTATACATTTATTTAGATCAAGACCATGCTCTTTTAACAATCATTTTCTAGTAGTTTCTTATATCTTACTACCCTAATAATCTGGTATCTAATTAAACTATTTCGCAGTGACTCGGATTTACAATTGTTGCTCAGTATTCTTATTTTTTTACGTAATAGTTTTCCTTCATAATTCTCCTGGCGTTTTAATATTTCGGTATCAATCATCATAATAATATCATATTTTCTAAAATGTCATCGGTAAACCACAATGAAGAATGTTAACTAATTTTGAATATTAGCTCTCCATATTCTCTATCAGAAATAAAAAATATAAGTGAAAGAATTACTTCAATACGTCAATTAGTTTCTGATGTATAGAAGTAAACATGCGATCAGCACGGAGTCGTCTTACATTTCATTAGAAATTATAAATAATTTCAAAAATTACCAAACCAAATACTAGAAAATCATGTGTTGTGCCGAAATACATAAATACAACCACCAAAGTAATAGTTATTTTTATAATAATCACAAAAAAAATCCAACAAATTTGATAACAGTCCTCGGGTCCTCTCTTCGACGATGTAGCCACATTAAAAATGCTATAGTACATTTACAGCCTCTGTTGGCGGCACAATCTTCGCAAGTTACGTTTAAAACTTCTTGGTTGTTTTTATTACATTCTAAACTGCAACGGTACCGTGTGGTGCGTACGCGGTGTTCGCGCGTGATTCTGCATTTGACCATACAAACATCACTTGCTTTTTTTACTTGTATGTAACCGATAGCATTATCACCAAAGCTGTCTCTTGCCGACCTGGAATAAGTTACAAATAAAAATAAATAAAACGGCCTATTAATAAGATAAATCAAAATTAAAAAGGTTTAGTACATCTGTTCAACTCACTACATTTGTCAAGTTGTATGTTGTCAATATATGTGTTTAGTTAAATTTACTAAAAGAGGTATCTATATTCACACATGTACATACGTACCTATAGACATAAAACTCTAACACACATTTGTTGTCTATAATGTAATATTTAAAAGGTTTGGTACTTCTCCCTATTTGAGTTGCAATACTTGCAATACGACATCAGTTGGGTATTTTTTTAACAAAACACTTTAAAACAGATAAATTATTTTCTAAATAGCAAGTAAAGTTAACTTACCTTTGCATTTTTATTCCTCGAATTTCGGCGGCAACGAAAGTTTAAATGCCTATAAAATCAAAACTAATAGGTATTTTTGACTAAAACAAAAACTAATATGTTTGTATGCATACAAGCTTTACTATACCAAACTTTCAACCGATTTGGCATACCTATTAACATTCTTCATTGCGACGGCTTTAAAATATCCTTACTTTTTACTTTATTTACAAGTCACACGTATTTATTATTACACTCAATCACTTTCTTTATCATCCCAGTTGTACCATTAGGTAATCGCCCGGCGTTCCATTTCACTTTATAAAAAATATTATTTATTAAACCATTAACTAACTCTATATCCTCTTAGCCTTACGCCGCGTGCCGACACGACCGACGAACGTAGAGTAGTGGATTGATGTCAAAGAATCTCGCTACAGTGAATAAATGTATTTAAAGAAGCAGCTGTCAGTTGTCAGTCTTTTCTTTTTAATAGTGCTTTATTCATGACCATTGATACAAGTCCTTCAGTCGAATAGATTTTTATAATGAATTGAATACAAAACATAAAAATTAAAACATAAGAAATAAACTATTATATAAACTTAGACAGTACAATTTTAGTAATAATTAATTAATATTAATTTTTTTCCACAGTATGTACAATGTAGTTATATATTGGAATAAAATATGCAAAGTGAGATAGCAAATCTTGAACGCGGCGGGGAATACTTTGTGAGCGTTCCTTTGCGATGTCACTAATGTCACTGAAAAGAATACATATTTGAATGCCAAGTTTTCAACATACAACGGTTGACGTTGTATGTTGAAAACTTGGCATTCAAATATATGGTTTATGTCAGCATTTATCTTGAAACAGTGGTTGCATCTGTTGTCAAATAATATCGTGAATAAAAAGAAAATTGCTAGTAATATAAAAAAATCCTCAATAAAATATTTTTTTACTAGTTTATAGGTAAAGGTTGTTGTTTTATAATTTGTAGCCGACGGTACTTATTAAATTAAAAATTAAAAAACTTAACCTAATTATCACATGATTGAATTATAAATATTTCTTAGATTTATTTTAAATTACCTATTGCATCAAATATTATTTTATGAGCGTGTAACACTGTGAACGAATGAAAATCTAAACTTCATTTTGGTAAACGCGATCTGTATAATGTTGGTGAATTCCATTTAAAGTAAAACGAGATCAACGTCGTTCTTTTTTTCGAGTTCACGCTGAACTCCGTTTCCTTGAACGTGTTTATGCTACGATTGGTGAAATCCGACCTTAATTTACAATTGCTGATTGGTCTCTTCGTGGTGTTATTTACTATAGCTTTCTTAGGTGTGGTCGAGCAATAATAGCAGATTTTTTATCTGTGCCGAACTTCGAACAATTATGGCGAAAATGGCAATGAAACAGCCATTCACGAGTCGAATCGATCTTCACCATCATTGACCACCACGATAACGCAAGACTTCATACAGCACGGGAAACCTTTGCAATTCCACAGGAGATTAGAAACCATACATCATCCTCCGTACTCGCTAGACCTTGCTCTAGCCTTGGACTAGGTACCATATTTTCGTGACTGGGACAATTTTCTACGTAATAAAAAAAACAACTTCCTAGTACACACTCCTTTCACAGTTTGACGAATCTACCAGATCCACACAAAAGCATAGATGAACTTTCGACTAGATAATAATAATCTATCTAGACTCAAGTTAAGCTAGCTAAAACTTGTGTTATGGGTACTAGATAACTGATACAAATGCCGTTTTTTTTTTCGTAAATACATACATTTTATACATAGAAATCACTCAGACCGATACAAACAATCATACTCATGAATACAAATATTTGTGCCGTGCGAGGAATCGAACCCGCGATCATCGGAAGTAAGGTACCAAGCCGCTAGATCACCTAGGTCGTAGCAGGAATATATAGATAATGAGGGTAAATATTTTGATTAAATAAATGTGACAACTTAGAAAAAAACGAGTTTAAATTTTTCAGTACAAGTCGGCAATTACTTTATTATGCACAGCAGAACGCGAACATAGGAAAACAGCTTTCCTTCACGGGAAAAGTATGATGCTTCTTAATCTTCATCTTCATTATCTTCGTCCTCTTTCTGCTCGTCCACAACATCCGGCTGTTGTTTTTATAATTAAAATTTTAAACAATGTCTACATTGTTACTTCTTTTCTTATTGTATATCTTATAAAATATTATAAAAAGGGAAAACTTGCGTGTATGTGAATATCCAGATAATCGGATATCCTGTATTAACCGGATTTTGAAAATTCATTTAGTGATGGATAGTCCATTGGCGTAGTGGCGTGTAAATATCCACTACACGTGGGATATAACCGAACCTACAAAGCGCGAGTCGAGTCCGTCCATAAAGTTCAAGTCGCCGACTGCGCGGCAACAAATACCCATAAAATAACCCACTGACCTGAAATCTAATTCAGTGCACTGTTAAAGTAAAATGCACACACCGGGTCCAGATAGAAGAAGACATCTAAATGGTAGGAAAACGAAGACAGCCTTTTGCTGAATATGACGACCACCACTCGCGAAATAATTAGTTTGTTTATTAACAGTAAATACACGATATTTTTGTCTATGTTTTATGAAGCCTATTATTATTTTATGTAGATAAATTCACTATAAGTATAATTTTTAAAACATTTTATTAATAAAAACAAAATACGGCGTGCGTTTAATCTCCTTTTTCTTTTTTATTTGAAAGAATGTTGGCTTTATTAGCGGCCAGTTACATATTTTAAAATTCCAGTGGAATCTCGACTAAAATATTCAGCCAATAGATGACCAATATATCTGAAGCCTATCAATAAAGCAAACTATTAGTTTGTGGAAGATAAATTAATGTCTAAACGGCCTAACGACCCATTTATTGAGGAACGTAATGCTATTTTTGTAATCGTCGTAATTTACATATGTTGCAAAAATGGGGATAATGTTCTGCAGACGAAATTTTACGCATTCGTTATTTATATAATACAAAAGACGAACTTCATGAATGCCCTATATAACTTTTTGCCAGATCATCTATATAAATGAAAAGCATGGTAACAGTGATAAAATTCGATACTAATACAATGCACATACATATATACATAAATACAAGAGATTATCATACGTTTACGAGATTTATTAGGTCTATTTAATATGTTTATTAGTTCTTGTTTCAACTAATGACATAGGTGATGGATAGAGTCTCTTTCTTCAATAACATAATATGGGCTGTAGTTATCTTATAAAATAACTATTCTTAGCTTTGTGAAAATTCTTTTTATCTCTATTTTTAAATAAAGAATGGTTTTTACCTCTTGTTCTGCTTGTTGTATCCGTTCTTCTTCCTGTGAAGTGATATGTGACATTATGTTATTGGTATCGTAACAATAATGCCGAATTTTCATAGCAATTATTAATTTATTAGGCTCTCGTGAAGTTGTTAATTTAATATAATATTAAATAGCATATAATATTATTCAAAGCAAATAGTGTATTTTGGTGTTTATACTGTTATCACTAGACGTGAAATATTTGACGTTCATAAGCGGCTAAAATGTCCTACATGAATAAATGATTTTTTAATTTAAATTTGAATTTGACCCAAAAGGGTCTTTATCCCGTGCATAAAAATGTAAGTTCTAACGAACGGCATAGTATTTGATATTTCTACTTTAATAAACATAGATACAAGGTTCTCAAGCACTATTTAGTATCAATTACTTCCATCGTCATCCCAAAGAGTTGTAGATTATCGCGTGTTGGAATCGTGAGATCCTGCGGTTACTAGATGATATAACTCTTGCATTTCTAAAGTTAGTCTGTCTACCTCTTTGTGTTCGTGTTACCTGTACTTCCTCTTCTTTGATGCTAATTTCTTCTTCAAAGTCATCTCCATATCCGACGGGAAAAAGTGTGAGACAGTCTCTTTCACCAGAGACCACGTCACTACTGATGTAACAAGGATTTAACCCAGCCAGTTGCAGTAGAGGAAGACTGCGTTTTCTTGACACCATGAGAGCTAAACGGTCCTTACTGAAGTGATCATATAAATTTAAAGCTTTTACTAAATAAATATTCATATATACTACTACAACCCTAAGCAGGGAATCTAAAGTAGAAATTGGGTATAAGGTAACGAAACTAGAGTGGGTGGTCCATGGAAGGCCATGTTCCTTGTAAGATCTATTATATTAAAGTCATATTTAATATCATGCATGCTACGGCGATTTCCTCTATTGTACTTGATATAAATAAAATAGAATATCACAGCGATATCCATCGAACTCAATGACACAGAGTCCATGGTCTAATGTAAATTAAAAAAATTGTCTTTAAGTCTTCGATTTGGTGTCCTAGCGGTATAGCGCACCGCCTTGTTTCCGATAATCGCGATTTTTAGCACAACATAAGCATTGTATTTTTAAGTATGATTATTTACGATACAAAAAATATATGTTTGTATCTTTTTAATCTTATTATTACCATTATCGACAACTACAACCAATTTATGAGAGGTTATAAGGTGAATGGAGTCTACTATTACCAGATTAGATCACTTGGTATTTTCGAACTTGGTTACTCCGCATAAACAGGTTCTTATATCCTTCGATAGGTATAAATATAGTTATTGGTAACACTTACTGCTTCCTCAATCTTTCCATTTTATCATATTGTTTTATGCTGTATGCAACATGCTCAGCAGTGTTTGGGTCTTCACCAACGAACAAGCCAGTCTGTATGTATTGTACAGTAAAATTAAGTAGTCAATCTAGAGACAATATCATCGAAGTTGAATAATGTAAGAAAACAATTATACACATTATTTTGCATCTTGCACTGTAGCTGTTTATCTCAAGTCTCAACGCTAGTTGCCATACGAATTATACAAAAAAAAATATCACTACACATAGGGACATGGTTCTATTACTTTTTCCAAAGTTATTATTATCACGTATAGTTTGGTGTAGATAGATTTTATACTCGTAATATATATTATATAATTTTACAATAGTAGAGATAGAGATAGATTAGGTAGTGGTAGATTTGATATATCATAAGAGTTTGTCATAGTGCTACGTGAATAAAGATATTTTGAATTTGAATATAATAAAAATCATACTGCGAGTATTTCGTGAGGGAACTGGTTGATTATATCCTGCACGTCATATCGTTTCTCTACTGTGAACATCACCAGCACGTGTGGAGGCAAGTGTTCCGTTTCTATTGGTGCCATATCTTGAACCAGCTATTATTTGAAAAAAAAAAGCTAAAATACAATTACAAATCTATATTAATAATGAAATGTCAGAACCAACGTGATAATGATACACTAAAGTGAGCTTTTCTTTAATGCATATTATCGGGATCGTTGTGAGTCATTATTCAAAATTAATAACATTATTATGTATTAATTATAATAAGAAACAGTCTAGTATTAAGTAATAGACACATTAACAAATAGTACCTAGTGCCTAACCAAAGTCAAATGTCCACTAATTTGTTTTTAGTGAGATCTTAGGTAGTATGTAGGTACGCTTTAACAGGCCCTAACTTAACAACGACATGGAGTTTGCTCTACACCATCTCAATGCCGCCGGAGTCGCGGTAGAATACAAACGTGTCCCCGTAACACCGGGAATGGCGCTCATAGGTACATCGTGTGGTTTTTTAGGTGCGGAAGTCTTTTGGATATTGGTTACACTCATATAATAAATAAAATGGTTGTATGTAGGTCTAATTCTAATGTAAAAAAATGATAGAAATGAATAAAGGTCAGCAAATTAAACTTTAAATAAAAAAATACTTTAGAAAAAAAGAAGGATAATCCGTTGGCCTTTGCGAGCTCGTTGGCGGGACTATACAGTCCAGGAACGAATAGAAATTCCCCCGGCGGAATGTACCTCGTCTTCCATGG